GCACACTGCTGGCTCATGGTCACCCTGTCATCTCCCAGCACTCCCAGTCCCTCTCTGTAGAGCTGCTCTCCAGCAGGTCCGCCCCAGCCTGTACTGGTGCCTGGGGTTGTTCCTCCCCAGGTGCAGGACCCTGCCCTTGCCCTTGTTGAACTCCATCAGGTTCCTCTCTGCCCAGCTCTCCAGCTTGTCCAGGTCTCGCTGGACGGCAGCACAGCCTGGGGATGCTCTCTAGCAAGCCCTTTCACCGAGCGACAAGGAGGAGGTGACAGCTGGGCCAGCGCTAAGTCACCCCCCTGCCATCACCCCCCTCCTGCATCCCTCACCGGCGCTGGCCTCCTCACCCCTCGCCAGGCCGATATAAGGAACAAAATAAAAGCACACTCACCCGACCTTCTCCCATCCGACTCCTCCGCATCTGATGAGAAAAAGCTTTCTAATTATTTAACTAAACACTATCAATCTTGCGTGAAACCAGAATAAACCGCCGGCGGTGCAGCCCGTGTAAGCGCAAACCCGCGGGCCCTTCATCAGCAGCGAACGCTTCCTTTAATTCTTTTCCCGTCCATCCTGTTTTGCCACTTCTCCTGCCAACTTCTCCGCAGATTTATAGCCTCCCGGTGTTTGGACAACTACCGTGGTGTAAAAACATCTGCGGGCATTGTGTCCACGAGGCTGAAGCAACGTTCGCTGCGGCTCCCCTATTACTGCTCTGCTCTAAACCGAGCGGCTGGGAAAGCATTTGCTCGCAAAATACTATTCTGCTTTTCAGCACGCAATCGCTGAATTCAGTCTTCTGCAATACCCTGAGACTATTATTATTAAAGAGCTGGTTTAAACTGAATGTGGATTTTCAAAAGGGAGAAAATACATCAACAGCAACGCGACGCTCACCTGATTCCTCTTCCGAGCTACTGCCGGAGCTGTTTTCGGAACTGGCCTCTGCTTAACAAAATGACACCCCGTTAGTCACGGGCAGAATGAAATAAAGCAATGCCAGGGGTAACAGAAGTTTAAATACATCATGTTGGTCAGCAAGGTAGATAATACAACCGAGTAGAAAAAACACTTGGGCAGAGAGGAGCAACAGAGCATCAACTCCCAGCATCAGAGGAGACTTCGGGGTCACCCAGGCCCTTCTGAAGGGTATGTGTGATGTTCAAGATGTTTAATTTTAATCTTTTATACAACCCAGGACCACTCTGGAGCTTCACCCGTGGCACGTCCCAATCCACCCAGCTAAATTACAGTTTTCTGTGATGTGCACGTGAGGTGGGGGAAGCATCGGCGGGAGCCGGTGCGTCCCACCAGTGACGGGACTCATGGTGATGCTCCATACGCAGCTTTAATAAATTATTCTGTCAAACATGACTTGAAGAGAAACCAGGATCGCAAAGCAAGGGACTTGAGGAGCTGCAGCAGCGTCTGCGCTGTGGTTTTATCAGGGAAATGGGGGGCGCAAGGCCGGCCATGCCCCCCCACGCCAGGGAAGCCCTCGGCCCCGC